TTATTTATAAGGAACTTAGGAAATACAACATTTACCTGCGTGCATTTCTGTGCACTTTTTGTTTATTTAAAGGAAGATATTTATATAATGTTGCATAACTTTGGCAAGCTACCTTTGCATTTCAAATTTCTACCATCGTTTTATATATACGAATTGCAATTGGAATTAATGTTTTTTTTATCAGATCATTTGAATATCTCGTTTATCAAGTTAGCAATATCCTGTTTTAGTACTGCAAATGACCTCGAAAAAGACGCTTAATTAACGAGTTTAATGTACCGGAATAACACACGGCTGGAGATTATTTTAAATGATAGAATAATATCTATGTTTTAATTTCCGTCTGGTCGTAAACAGTTTCTTTGGTCAATTTTTTCTATTTAGCCCGTTTATGGAGTACCCCTCAATTTACGGTTTTGGATAGTCACATTGAATCCAAAACTAGAATGTTTTGTTCAATTTCAGGTTCAAAACAAAACCTTTCAAAACGACAGAAAACTACACAAAATCGAGTCGCGTGAACGTGTTGACAGTCTTTTGAGGTGCGCTAATGCGAGTAATGATTTATCCACGGTAAAGATAATCGCGAGTACAGATTTTTTTCAAATGCAGTCTACCATTCAGCATGCATTACAAAGTATTTATTGAAGTCAACACCTGTGCAATCAGGCAATACAATAACTGATGAATCAGAACATGAGCTTGCTTTCAAGTCATTAATAACGATTGTTAATGATGATCGGCTCTTCCATAAAAAGGCCTTTCTTATGTCGCACATCCTCGACTTATACCGATCACTTATGCCCAATCCGATACTTACCCATCTGCCAAACTTCAGAACACATTAATTAGTTATTATGGCAGCTCAATTACAATTCAGACACAGCGAGGACAAAGGATGTCAAACATAGTGTTAAGCTCTGAGCTTACTATAGGGGATGCCATATCTGCTGCCTGAAAATTGAAGTCTATGTTAAGACTTTCAAAATTACACCAAGGTGTGTCTGCAGATATCAAAGATACATTAAATGAAAATCAATTACTTCACTCTGCCGCTACCGCTCTTAGGCGCGATATTGAAAACCGCGCTATTGCCTCTGATCACTACCCTAGTGCCAATGAAGCCTCGATGGGTGCTTCTATGGAAAAGAAGCCCGCATCATTTCGAAAGTTCATTTGTTGGTTGACTGATGAAAAATCACACAAAGGCGCTTCTGAACCGTATGTTGTCCCTAAAGATAAATATTGTAAATGTATGGCTATCACAGAATCTATGGTTTCTGTAGCAAAATCATTATTCACCACATTCCATTTGGGACTTGCCGTGCAGTTATATCGATATCATGAATATGGGTCACGATCATTGATAGAAACTTTGTATTCACATGGCTTTTCTGCTTCCTATGCAGAGGTAAGACGATACCTGACAAGCATTGGCATTTACGAGGTTGGTCGTATTCAAGACGGTATTTACGTTCCAGCCTGCATTCTTTCAAAACACCAAGGGGGTGTTTGATACAAGTAGGTGCCGACAATATAGACCTCAACACGGAGACAATTGATGGCAAGGACACGTTTCATTCCATGGCACGAACAGTCATTTAGGTTTGTCTGTCCACAATTGATTCGAGTTTGCTACCGTACTCATCAGGGACGGAATGGCCTTAGTCCAGTCTTTAAATGTTAAGACATTTAGCACTTTCGGTGAATTGGCTCTACATTTAATTCAACATCAGAAATCATGCCTTACCAATGCTGCTACAGTTGTGATGTCTTTGATAGATACGACATCAAACATTCTATAAATTCTGCCGAAAGAGGCCGACGAACTGGAGTAATAAATTCTAGCCAAAAGGTATTTCAGGTAATAGATGGTCGATCCATACCAGACTGGAAAACAAATTCTTGAACGTCAACGCAAATAAACCAGATCTACTTAAGTTCCTGGGTGATTTTACCCTTCGTCATCATGCTCAGTCCCCGGTGCTCACTTTGGCTGAGGATAAACTTTATCTAGTGGGTATTTTTGTTGACCCAATTGTCGTGAAGACGTCTTCCGCAGTGGTAACTGACTGTCAGAATTTATTCAGCACACATGAAGAGGCAGATACGCGAATGATCCTGCATGCCATGTTTGCTGAGGTTGAGAGGCAAAACAAGAAGGGTCGAATAATTATAAAGTCTCCAGATACAGATGTTCTAATTCTTTGTGTGCATTTCTGCCCATCAATGAAAAACACCCGGGAACTGTTGTTTCAAACAGGAACAATAACCAGCAATAACGATGGTCGCAGATTCCTTCCTGTACATGGATTATGCAGTGTCTTGAGCCCTGTCATGTGTAATGTTTTACCTGCTATTCATGCTTTGACAGGTTGTGACACTACTTCATCATTGTTTGGAATCGGGAAGAAAACTGTTTATAAAGTTTTGAAGGACAATCTTGGAGACTTTGTTTATTTGAACCATCCTTCAAGCGGTGACATTGACAAATCTGTTGATGTCAGCCAGACATTTGTTGCAAGGCTCTATGACCAGAAACGGAAAGCCATATTTGAGCACAGTGATTTGAATAAACTTGTAAGGAAAGCTTAACAAAAAGATTCTAGCTTAGCCAAACTACCCCCATGCGAATCAACTTTCCTGCAACATGTCATGAGAGCGTCACTTCAGACCAGTATTTGGATTTCTTAAAATTTTGCACAGCCACCACAACAGTCTCCTTTAGATTTCCGCTGGGAAGACAAACATGGATTAACCCCAACCTTTTTCAAGGGACAAATGTCATCAGATTACTGAAAAGATTTACTTTGTACCTGCAAAGGTAAATCTTTGTGCCCAAAAAGTTGTGTTAGCTTTGAACAAAATCTGTCCTGCACCCAACTTTGTTCGTGTCAAGGAAGTGAAGCGTGCTGTAATGCTAATACGCGTACTGCATCCGCTAACGAAGACGAAGAGATTGGCGCATAGCTAAGATTCTTGTAAACACTTTCCCACTGTAACTTTTTGAATATTTTTTTTACAGTATATCCCTATTTAATGAAGACTAGAGGTATTGTATGTAGCTTTTAAAAGACAGGTTATATATGAGTCTTTACCGATTTTAAATAACAACATTAGCAAATTAACATTATTATCAATCACTTCCCCAAAAATTGGAGGAGTCTACATATTTTTACCAAGATAATCCCACTTAGACAATGTTCATGCATTAAACTGATTTTGTTTTATACTAAACCAACCGCTAAATCAAGGCAAGTCACACTTTTTCTTAAACCTCGCATTCGCTTCGGTTGACTTTGATATTTGTTTGTGTTATAACTGATCTTTACGACTTTGCAACTACACAATATTTATTTATCTATAACCAGATACTAATTTTCCAAAAATACACACCCTTTTGAATGCAAAATTAAACATGTTTCAGCGCTTGAATTTTGTTTTTTTTAAAAGAAAGAAACATTATTGAAATAATTTGATAAACTGGTGTTTTATAGTTTAGAAAATAATTATATCATATGCTGTAGAGAAATATGATAAGCAATATGAAAGTTGATGGATGTAAAAAGGTCAAGACCATTTCTACATTTGCCATGTCATAAATGGAACAAAAATCAGAAGGTTCAAGATAAACGCCATTTTGTATTGGCAACTCTTCATATAAATGGTCAAATTTATCGTTTTGACATCCTTTGCAGCATATGCTTGTGATGAAATCGTTTTTGTAGCATTCTAATGACTATATATCAGAAAATTTCTCCTTGTTCCTTAAAGTTGAAATAATGATATTTTTAGGCTTGACCTTTGACCCCAATTTCACAAAAATGTGACCACTCTGGGTTTTTACCACCAAACGTTTCTTATTGTACACATTTTCCTCTTTCCATCGATATATAATTTAGGTGGGTGTTTTTCGGTACATTGAAGTTTTAAAAAATGAAATCTGGTTGCAGTACTATTAGTCTTTACTTATCATGATTAACAAGAGTTTCGATTAATTATTTGAGACGAATGTGGCAGGTTCACTACGCACCACAATACAAAATGCTGATTATGTTATATTTGTAACGACACTTTAATGTTTGAAAAATAAAACAGAAATATATTGTCTTAAGAAGTCTGCATATCAAGATGATAAAAACATAAAACAGGATGGTAATGAGTTAAGACCTAATCGAAATGTTTAAGGATAATATTCAACAATATTAAAAGAAGTTTAACGGCGACTATTCATTATGTTAAATTCAGTACACAGGTGTTTGAGATAGTAATAGGGAGATAACCAGGGATTGAATGCAAATTACTTTGAAGTCGAGGATGAAATGTATTCCCTTTCTCAGTGACCTGGTTTGAAATTCAATTTTAACCTATCCAAATGATTCAACCTGCCTAAATTTTTTAATTAATATGGTATATAAGAACGAATGTAATTTTATAATTTTATAATTACAAACCATAATCTCATTATGAGGGTCTTTATATGGTCTTTCATTAATGTATTATTACATTTTTATACAATTGTTCCCTTTTTCTTTATATTTTTGCTCATTATTCACTATTTATTATATTTTATCATCCTATGATTCACTATTCTTCATGTTTTGTTCCATTTCATAATTTTTGTCGTATTTTCTGTTTTTTCCACATACTCTTTTTTGTGAAAACTCCATCAAGATCCTCTATTTCTGGGTTAACGTCTCATCTGGAGTATAGAATATAATAAGTTTCTGACAGTTTATCCGTCTATATTATCGTAACTTTTGTATATGTAGATTATATGTATTTCATATTATATATATTTCATGTGTTGAATTGCCAAATTTAATTTACCAATATAATATGTAATCAACTATTTCAAGTTTATCGCACTGTTCATTTCTAGACGTTATGATAGACAATACAAACTATGAATTGCATTAAATAGTATTAGACCCTATTTAGGCTCAAACAGTCAAAGGGAGATAATCGTATTTTGTTATTTGAAGCTATATCACGTGACAATACCTCCAGGTTACATCGTTGTCAACAGACTGTTATAAAACTTGGTCACAGTATCTGCAGTATGTGTTGTAACAAATTTGGTTGACAAACTGAATCTTAAAGTAAGTATTTAACGGTTATTAAAGTACTTAACTTGCTGTCCCACAAGGATGTTTTGTTTAAATAAGTACTTTCGTTTTCTGACGAAAGAAAGATATATCACTTAGGTCTAAAAATGAAGCAGTTTTAGTGTTGCAGATGTCTTTTGAATATTTGTGTTTTTATGATTTAGATTCTTTTTATTTAAGTATACAGTAGTTCTTTTTTTATTCAAAAGGAACAATTAAATGACATCAGACCGTATCAAGATTTAAACAATCAAAGGGAAATAACAGTATGTTGTCCTTTGTCAAAACATGGGTGGTAACGTGATGGAGAAATTTATTTTTCAAATTAAATTTATCACGTGACGGTACTAAATGATTACACTACTGTTATCAGGCTGTTATAAAAATTGTAGAAAGTTTCTGGAGTATTTTTTTGTGACATATTATTGTTGACAAGCTGAGTCGCAAAGTAGGTATTTGTCGATTATCTAACTTTCCAAAAAAGCTATTATTAAATATGTACATTCGTTTTCTGAAGAAATAAAATAATATACCTCTTCGATCTAAGACCGTATCAAGATTTAAACAATCAAAGGGAAATAACAGTATTTTGTCCTTTGTCAAAACATGGGTGGTAACGTGTTGGACAAATTTATTTTTCAAATTAAATTTATTACGTGACGGTACTAAATGATTACACTACTGTCATCAGGCTGTTATAAAAATTGTAGAAAGTTTCTGAAGTATTTTTTTGTGAAATATTATGGTTGACAAGCTGAGTCGCAAAGAAGGTATTTGTCGATTATCTAACTTTCCAAAAAAGCTATTATTAAATATGTACTTTCGTTTTCTGAAGAAATACAATAATATACCTCTTCGATCTAGTAAATTACTGTATGTTCAAAAATTATTGTGTGCATTTATTATTGAAGAATGGACAAAAATGCAAAATTAATTATTACGATTTAAGAAAAATCTGCATTCAGATATATGTATCAGATGATTCAGAATCAGAATGCGATTGCTTAATATAGCGATAATTGTGCGCATTAGTAAAAACTTCACAATAATTTCTGAACTTACAAAAGCAGTTTTAAGTGCCATAAGTATCTTGTAGTTATTTGTGTCGGGGGTTTCAGTTTTGTTTTTTTGAATACTGCAATTATCTTTTTTTCGAAAAGGACAATAAAGAAATTTGATAGTAATCAATAATATAAAACCCCCTTTCTTGTTTTCCAATTGAATTAGATATATTTTGTATCGTTCTCCTTGGATAAAAAAACATCATAATTCATCTCCCTATAACCAGGAGGAAGTATTTTAGGAAACAAACATTCTACCTATGGTGAGAATAGAATTCATATTTATGTATAGCAATAGAAAATATACTATTTAATAAATTATATAACAGCTGTGGAAATACTAGATTAGTGTCCACCAAACAATAATGGCGCATAGATATTTGGTATCATTTTATTAACATTGCGCCATTTCATGGCAAACATATGTTATTCGTTTATCTTGATTTGGAAAATGTAATTTTCTTAGTGTGAATGATTCGGTTGTCTGCGTTCCTAACGTTTTTTAAAATAAAATTTCTTATTGATAATCCGGAATTAATCCTGGTTTCAACAGTTTATTTTATCGTTTTTCTCTCAGCTACCTCCATTATGATTGCCTGATGCACACCTGATGTCATTTTTTCTATCTTTTACATGTTTTAGGTATATGCTTTATTATGATAGATATCACCACAATGTTGCTATTAATGTTTTAATGACACACTTGGTATAAACTTGGTTGCTGCAACCACATGATTGTCCCATTTCCTAATGAGGTAGTTGGGCTGCTCATTCATTTCCAATATAGCGGAAATGTTAACAACTGTCATACTAGTGGGATGTTTCACTAGTTACAAAGAAAGGTTTAACCCACCATTTTCTTTGGAAAATACCTGTACGAACTCAGGAATATGACAGTTGATTTTTTTACTCGTTTCGTTGATGGGCAAGGTTGATTTGGGCAGTTTTTATAGACTTCCCCTTTTTGAATTTACGGAAAAGTTTGGTATTTTTCTTATACTCTTTTATACTAACACACAATCAATGAATTCTCTTCAAATAACTCATAAAACGTTCAACGTGTGTTTTGTGTTTAAAACGCTATAACTGTATATACCATCATATACATACTTTTTAAAATTTTAGCTAGCCTAATACTAAGGAACCAAAAGTCAGAACTGGTTTCAGTGGATAAAGAGGGTAACGAGTGAATTTATTTCTTTAAAGATGATGAAGTTCTTCTACATATTCGTTATAACTATGTAACATACAAGAACTAATAGACATATAGAAGTGAACACAGCATATTGCCCACTTGATGTCTTATGATTATTTTCATCTTTGGGTTGCTGTCTTACTGATGTATACCCCACATCTCCTTTTATCTATATTTGTGTAAAATATGATGAGTTGTTTTAACAATTTGTTTCACGTGTTAAGTTCTTGTACATCCCTTCATGACTTTCGATGTTTTGGGTTTGAACTTTTCGGACGCACGAAATTAATAAGGTGTCATTTTAATTTTCTAACCATCTTGTATTCATATGAAGATATGATAGGAGGCGAATACAAGTATTGTTTCTGGTTGCCAAATTGCCCATCATAAATAACACGAGTCTTTTTCAGTGCAGATAGAATAGGTATAAATCTTAATCTATTATTTTCTCACCTATTTAAGTCGATCCGACTTTAGCTCACCTGGCTCAAAATTCAAGTGCAAGCATTCGTAATCAGTTGTTATCAATCTTCCATCCATGATCCGTGTGTAAGCTTTAATTAGTACTATTTTAATGGTTGAAGTATAGCTTTGAAATAAAATTGAATATGTAGCAGTTACATGGTGTAACATCTTATTACTTGAATAACAAATTGCTGGAATAATATAAGTTAACAAGCAGTGGATTTTAGCTTGTAAAAATGAAGCGATAAATACTTGTAAAATGCATGCATCGTTCTGTAAAAAAAAAATGTCAGATTTTAAATGTAAGATTCTTATTCTCACCCTTTAAAAATAACAACAATTATAAAGAAAGGTGAATTTTACGGCTGGCTTTTTTCCATTTTTCTCAGCATTCATACAATTTATAACAAGACCAAAATATATCATTCCACTGTAAATATTTGACTGGTTGATATTATCCGAAGTAACATGACACAAATACAGCATACTTCCCTCTGAACACCAGAACAAAATAAGCGAAAAGGACCATGAAAACAATTTATCCCACAAGCTTGGAAATAAAATTAAACATTACAGTTTCTTGCCAGCTTACCGATTCAGGCTTTAAGAGGCCTCTAGTATTACTTTTACGATGTTATTTCAAAGTTGTCTGCAATCTATAAGGAATGAAAACTTTGTGCTTGGTGTTCTAGTGTACAGTTAAGACAGATAATCGCTTCTCTTCGAATAATACTATTTGTGAATAAATAAATAATCAGTTTCGGATCATCCGGACAGTTCCTATTTTCAAATCAAGATTCGGAAACGCAGCTTATATTTTCTTTCACTAAACTTTTTATTATGTAATGTTTCGCAATAAAAACAAAAGTTATGAAAAGTAAACTAAAGTGTCTTTTGTATTTCAGTTTAATATGTCGTCGTCCTTACCGATATGCGATATTTGTATGACAGATAACATAACATAATCTGCCTTCGTTTGGTGTTCAGAATGTAAAGAAGACATATGTAATGAATGCGAAAGACTACATGGCCGCATGGGTTTATCAAAGAACCATAAAACAATACCCATAAAAGATTAACAGAAACTGCCTAGTTCTATTGCTGCAATCAACAGAAATGCATGCGTCACAGTTTAAAATTCGACTTCTATTGTGTAATTCACAACGAACCATGTTGTGTGTCTTGTGTTTCAGAGGAACATTGTACCTGTCAAAAATTGAAGCCATTATCGAAAGTAGTGGAAGGAGCAAAGTCGTCTGCTGCATTTGCAGATTTAGAAGATAGGGCGAGAGACATCAGCGCACTTATTGGCAATCTGATAACTGAGAAACAAAATAATCGAGCAGCTTTTGGAGTTCAGAAAAATAAAATCATTTCTGAAGTGCAAAATATCCGAGCAGCAATAAATGATCATTTAATTAAACTAGAAAAAGATCTTTTGGATAAATTGGACAACATGGAGAAAAAACAGAACGGAAATATTAGTAGTTTTATTAACAAGCTCTCAGAAATGCGCACAAAAGTTGAAAACATACTTGGTGATTTGGAAAAAACTAAGCGACACGCGTCAAATTTCCAAGCTTTCCTTTGTATACACGAATGGAATAAAAGAATGGACCTAGAAAAAAAAGATTGGATGTCCTTACAAACCGATCAGATAATGAACCATTGTGATATTCAAATAAAATGTTCACCGATACTTTTGAAGTTTGAGAAAGACGTCACAGAAATATGTAAGTGGAAGTGAATTCTTCGTCCTCAAAGAAAATTCGTCTTAAGAAGGAGAAGCAGGGACAGATTTTCGTTCCTATTTCTAAAACTGTAAATAACATTAAATTGACAAATATACGCTCTTTCAGCCGATTTTATAAAAATAAATTCTACCAGTTGTCTGCAGAAAAAATAGCGTTTTTTTTCTAATGAAAAACATAATACAATTCGAAAAATTAATAAGCAGATTTTTATTGTTGATTTTGAAAAAAAAATGTTCAACACAATATCAACTTGTTCTGAAATGATTCGCTGCACCCATGCGATAACATATTGGTATTTTGACTCGCAGTTGATATTGAAACAGCAACTCTATGCATTAAACACTTTACTGCTCTACCAACACAATACCAAATGAACTATGTCAAACAGACATGCACATGCATACCTTTCAATTATTCTGAACGCAGATATATAGATCAACTGCTACACGTAGAACGTCCTTCGCTCATCTTTTCACCTCTTGAAACAATTTACCACGATAAAATAAATCATTGTTGTAC